TTAGACCCTTTGATTGATTTTGTTTAAATTGCATGCAGTGGTCTATCATATTGACAACTACCTCACTCGATGCATCATATTTTCTAAAGTCAAAATCAGCAGTTTCAAATTTACCCTTTAATAATTCAATTTCAGCCACTAGTTCAGTATTCTGTTTTATTATATAGTCATAATTTTCACATTTATTAATGTAGTCTTCCTAAAGTATCCTAAAGTCCTTTATTTTAGATTCTAATTGGGCTTTAAGTGGTTTTTGACATTTTCTGAGTTAGTAACCTTCATATCTAAGGTCTTCTACTTCCCTTTTTAGTGAGTCGTTAAGTTCACAGAGAATTTTAAGGTATTCTACTTCACTACAGAATGTGTCAATTTTCTCATTCAAAATTTTAACATAATCAATACAGGCTTGAGAACATGAGGGTAGACTTACCTCGGTTGTATTAGGTTCATGAGAGGAAGATACCATCAACGCAAACTGCAGCTCCATCATTTTATCTTCAGCTGCAATAATCTCTACTGACCTGTTCCAGGTGGGCATTTTCAAGTCCAGATAAGTTTAGGGCCTGCATCTGATCCTCCCAGTCGAACGATTGTGCAACCATAGCCTTCTCGCTGTTTACTTGAGCACCGCTTCGATTTTTCCTAACTACCACTATTGTCCTATCATTATTTAATCTTCTATCTGGTTATGGACAATCGCGAGCAAAATGCCCTGGCTCGTGGCAGTTGAAACACCACAACTTTCCCTTGTTGAACCCAACTTTCTTATCATCACTCACCCCCCGGTTGTTCTTTCCAGTCTTTTTGGAAAACTGTTTCGCCCTAAAAACTGCCATGGGAATTTTCCATGTAATATCCATCTCTTCAACATCTTCAGGGTGAATCTGATCAAGATCAGTAAATGATAGTTGGGGTGGAAGATCCCCGGCTACGAGTGCATTGTAGCAATTGACAAGCCCTGTAGCAAGCGCAAGATTTTCATCACCCTCCTTTCCACTTGAAGAAGAAGTCACATTGGAGGATGAAGCAGCTTGAGTACCTACAAACGATTGGTTGTATGAGAAAGGTATGGTTGATGCAGAGGAAGCTGATGGAGTGGGGAAGATCTGAACCTGAGCTTGCTGAGTAGCAAATGATTGACCTACAGAAGGAAAGGAGAAAGATGAAAGAGCATTGTTAGTAGAGATTCCAAGGTTCGCAGCTGAGTATGAGTTCACATGGTTGATCTCTCACTGCTTGTCATCAATATCACAGGCCTTGATGACAGCCATCACTTCAGCAAGAGAGAGACGGATAAGATCCTTAGTATTCTTGATGACAGCTACATTCATGTCCCAAGACTTTGGGAGAGTATTCAGTAGCTTCTTGTTTATCTCAGACTTTGTGTAGAAAATCCCGGCTACAGTCATTTCAGTGTTAAGAGATGTGAACCGCTGCAGCTGTGCCTCAAGAGTCTCTCCAGGAACATAGTTGAACATATTGAAACGTTGTCGCAACATATCTTGGCAACTCTCCCTCATATCTTTGTTCCCTTCATAGACCTCAATTAGGGCTTCCCACAAGGTCTTAGCAGAAGTATACTCCCTGAAACCTTGAGCAATGTTTGGAGATAGTGCTATGGTCAAGGTGGCCAAAGCCTTCTCTTGCTCTTCAACCTTCACGAAGTCTTCATCAGTGTAGTTTTCCATCTTCTTGTCAACCACTTGCCCTGCAACTGTAGTGGTTATTCTGACTGAATCTTTTATTATGCTTCTCTAGATTTTGAAGTCCTTCATCTTTATGTACTGCTCAATTCTGTACTTCCATTCTGGGAAGCCTTCAGCGGATAAAAGTCTAGGAATTCGGGTGGTTGTGCCCATAACTGAATCTAGCTCGTGATGGTTTGTTTGACCTTGAGAATCCATTATTTTTATTTAATTAATATGAGACATAAATTAAATTATTTATGATTAAATTAAGCTTCTGGTCAAACACAGTCAAAATACTATTTACTACTGTAAACAGAGTTCACGGTCAGATGAGGGTTTATGGCCGTAAACTCCGAGTTTACGGTCGAAAAGAGTGCACGGTCTAAAGTTCACGTTCCAAGAACACTCAGTTTCCGGTTTATGAATAATCCTTATTCACGGCTCAAGAACAAAATTTATGGTGCAAGAACTTTGAAGAGTTTGTGGCCGTAAACTAAGATTACGGCCGTAAGCTTTTAAACTTGCAGTTTTTCGACGAAACTGAAAACCCTTTTGCAGAAATCACCAACTTTAGTCGCAAACAGATGAAAACTCGCTCCAAGATCGATTGTAGAGTGCCTTTGACACTGGTTCTGCTCTGATACCATTTGTAAGGTCCTGAGAATGGATCTTACCAGCGATCAAGAACAAATACAATTGCAGAAAAGAGAACAGGAGTAGAAAAGAAATCAAGCTTGCACACGTTCTATTACTGAAAACGTCTGATACAACTCGATATATATGACCGTGAACTGCTAGGCGTCAACAACTAAAATACGACTGACTAACCCTCTATATATATAGGGAACCACGACCAGAAACAGAAACAGAGCTTACGGCCGTAAGGTGTTTACGACCGTAAACTCATTATAGACCCATAAGCATCCAATAAACCTACCAAAATACTTTATCAATACAGAACCACTATTACAATGCAAAGCCTAGACCAAACCACTAATTGAGCCCTTCATACATATATCAACTATTTAAAATAATAAATCCACATCAAGTTGAAAAAAACGAATGAAATTAACAAGGAGGTTGAAGTGCTTACCAGTTTCAAAAATTAAAGAGGACAAATATCTAGCTTGTGTGCTAGTCTGCCTGATGAGATTTGAACTAATTGAATCTGAAACTTTGAAAGACGACGCACAAAAAAAATACCTTTGATTTGGATAATCATAACTATCGGAGTTCGACAGTCTTGGTGAATTGCAACTGTGCATCACAGTCGTTGATGGATGTGAAAGATCCTGGTTATAAATCAGTGTTTCTCTCGCTTCGTGCTTTACAGGCATTAACGATGGCGACGTATAGTCTAGAAAGTCAAGGAACTCATGTTAATAATATTCATATTTCTTTTGTTGCTTGAAGAGCCTTTACTTCGGCTCCTGATTCGAGGCGACAATTACATGATCCAGAAAATCTTCATCTCCGTTCTCATTGAGAAGATTCGAACAAAAGAAGCTCATAGAAAAGAGATAACACAATAAGGAGCTCTAATTCTCATCATGTTGATTTTGATTTCGAGTTTTTTCATCATAATTCGGATAAGGATCCAATGAAAAACTGTCTGATCTTGGCAAACTCGCTGTCGGCCTGGATGTATGAGATGAGCTGTTAAATGCGATCAATTACAGTACAAGAATTGGGGAAACGCCATATTTTATATATAAACTATATGCAATAAACGACGATTCCTATCGCAGAGGGCAATAAGGGGGAATTCAACTTTTTATTGGCTCAAAACCAAATTGGTAAAACACATAATAAAACTTCAGTGGGCATATAAAAAAATATATGTTGTAAAATATAGAGTTTTTAGTGGCATTTTAATATATTTATGCCATTAATGAATATTAATCTTAGTGACATGTATTATTAAATGTCATTAAATCTATTAATTTTATAATGGCATATAAAATATGTCATTAAAAACATGTTACAGTGGCATAAAAAAGATTTGTTATTAAAAGTGTATGCTATTAAATGTCATTTTATTTGTAGTGTAATAACAATAAATATAGTAACATATGAATATTAATTTTCATTAATCGTCTTATATTCTTATTTCAAAATTCTTAAATTAAAGCTCATTAATTTATTTTGTTTATTTATTTAAATTATTTGTTTAAATTTAAAAGAGAAAAAGCACTTTAATTTTAATAATTCAATATTTTTTTAATTTTTCTTATAAATTTAAACTTTTTCAAATGTTCAGAATTTTCATATTTATTTTTCTTTTAAATGAACACATGTAATGCATATGTATTACACCTAGTTGTATTATATAATATAATTGTAGAAGATAAAACGATTTGTAAGTGGTCGGATGATGTTCATCCTCCAATTCATATGTTTTTCGTAGGCGCTGCATACAAAATTCAATACCAAGTTTTAAGAAACTCTGAATTGTATGATACTGAAGTGTATTTGGTAGTTCAATTTGATTTAATTGGGCTTATTTAGGAATGCATTTTTTTTTTACAAAATAACCATCAAAATTAATAAATAATTTCGTCAAGAGTCATGTAATAAAAATAGTATTATAGTTCGTGAGTGATATAAATTGGAATCCAACGAGTAGTTTTTTTAAATTAAAAACTGCAATTTTTTTTGTCTTTATAATTTCTTAATTCTTATGATTGATTTTTTTATTATATATACTTAATTCATATATGTTTTGATAAAAGATTATGTATGTATGTATGTATCAATCAAGGGATACAAAATGATATTAAGGCATTTATGCAAAATAATAAGAGATATTTTATTGTCTTTATAATTTCATTATCATCGAAAATTAACAAAAAAATCATGATAAAAAGGTGATATATACAAAATATCAAGACATCCAAAATTAAAAAGCTTGAAATCTAAAAAGGACAAAATAGTTAAAAATATATTATAAATCGTTCTAAATACTGTAAGGCGTGGCTTGACGACAATGTCAAGCTTCAAGCTTTTTTGAGTGTTGGTGAGCCACATCATTTGTAAGATGTGACTTAAGACGTCAATTTTGTATATAATTAATAATTTCATATGTATTTTCAACTATTATTCTATTTTATACACATATATGAGTTAAAATGACGTTTTGGTAAAGCTTGACAGCAAATACAAACCTTGGAGTCATGATGTGTCATAGCGGCTATGACGAGCTTTTTAGAACCTTATAAGACATTTATTTGGGTAATAAAAACTTTATTTTCTCACTGAATAGTTCAATAAAGTTGTCTTTGGTATTTTTGATCTTTCTGCAACCAAAGAGCTTCACATGTCGGAGAGTGATGTTGAGAAAACCGGGATACTTTGTGGATGCCTAAAGAAATTCTCCGGATCAATTTTTGCCTTGATTCCAATCAACTTCTTGAAATTGTCCCTCTTCCAGTACCTCTCCCCCCAAACACTTGCTTCTTCATAATTAGAGTTTCCAACACCAAAATCCAGATCCACGTAGTTGGCATAAGCTTCCCTGGGGTTCTTTGATACATAAGGTGTCAATAATTTTTCCAAGCTTCGCAACCAAGCTATCCTCTGAAGCGATGTAGGGGTCATGTCTGATGTTTGACCGAAAAAGTTGACAGTCTCTAGCACCTGGTACAACACCCCAGCTCTATGAGGATACGGAGTTTCAGTCTCTACGAAATCAGCCATCTTTCCACCAAAAGGATTGATCATCAGAAGCGCTGATTCATCATTTTCGAAAAACTTTCTCCAAATCTTTCTGAGCCCGCTTATGGGGATCGGTGTCCGGACATAGTCAGATTTAACTTTGTTGTTCAGCTTGTCTATGGCAGATCGGTTAGTGAGAATCTCAATCGGGGTGGAGCTTGGCAAGCCCCAAAACACAAGGGTTGACTGGATGCTTTTGATTTCTTCACAAATCTCTCGTGTAACACCAAGCTCCGGAAAATTTTCATCCAACAATGGAAGCAATGTATCTTTTGTACCCTGATAAATTCCTTCGAACATAATTCGTATGGTTTTCTTTGTGGTATTTCTGATATATTCTCCAAACACCTGAGTTCTTATGTGCAGATTTCTATCAATAGTTGGTGCAACGTATTGATATTTATGGAAAATTTCAGTTGCCCTTTGTTCCAACGTTTTATTTAGTATAAAAACGGTTACTATTTCTGGAACGGGAACCAATCTCAGCTTCCATGCAAGAACGATTCCAAAACTAGAAGCACCACCTCCTCGGATCGCCCAAAACAAATCTTCTCCCATTGACTTCCTGTCGAGAATATTTCCATTGACATCAATGACGCGAAAATCCAAAATATTATCAGCAGCAGTTCCGTATTTCCTTATTAGGTTTCCATAGCCACCACCGCTTAAGTACCCACCAAGACCCACGGTAGGGCAAACACCACCAGGGAAATACAAGGTATCTGTCTTCTGAGAGATACTGTAATAGAGGTCACCAAGCACAGCGCCTGTTTGGGCCCAAGCGCTCCTGTTTATTACGTCCACATCTACAGACCTCATCTTGGTGAAATCAATCATAACAAAAGGAACATCAGCAGAGTAGGAAAGGGCCTCGAAGTCATGTCCCCCGCTCCTGATCCTGATTTCATAGCCATGTTTCTTGGCGCAGTATAGAGTCGTTTGGATTAGGGTTTCTTCCACAGGTGTCACAATGACTGATGGTTTACGAGTGGAGGGTTTAAGGAACTTAATGTTTTGGACATGCGCTTGCCAAATAGGAAGGAAAGAAGCGTTGACAGGGGTAAAAATGAGTTGAGAGATGGTAGTGACATTGTTGGAGTTGGAATGTACGCAGCTTATGAGTTTTCCAGAATCTGGCCATGGTGTACCATCAACAAGGGAAGAAAAGGTTGCCCATGAAACAGAAAACGAAAGAATTAGAACGAAGAGGAAGACAGAAGCGCTAAGCTGAGATTTCTTCATGTTTAATTTGGTGAGCTTGATCCATGGCAGTAGCGTATTTATATAGAGAGAACGTAGAGAGCATTGAGCTAAGTGCAAGTGGGATTATAAAATTGGTGAATTCATTTTTCTAGGAACACTAATTACAAAATAATACAAGAATTATCTCATATACAAATAACTTATATTGCTATAAGCCTATAAGTAATTTGTATAGGAACACTATTTATAAGCGAGATTAATTCTGCTATATTCTTGTAATTTATGTTTTCAACATTGCGTTCCATTATTTAAAAGCATTACTAGGAAATGGATTAAATTAAAAAATCTCACTAGGAAATGAAGAGGTAACGAAGTCGTTTGTTAATAACAATAAACTAACTAAAAAGTTAAGTTAGCCCATTAACTTTTGATTCAATTGGTAAATGTCACATTTTTACGCTAGTAATTGTAAATGTAATGCTCGTTGATAACAAGAAGCATATGTATATTTTATAAGTTTAATTAGAAAAAGTCAACAACACAAAATTACCTAAAAGTATCCGTCATCGCATGCCATCAAAACCTCAAATTTCTTGTGGAAAAGAAAATTAGTAAAACGAAGCCGAGTGCATCGTAGAGAGAGCCCACTTGGATACTTCATGCGAGTTAGAATGTCACGTCTCATTTTATTCAATAACTTAAAACAAAGATATTAACCAATTAAGCGAAAGATCTTACCAATGATTTTTTTTTTTTTTTTTTTTTAAATTTTAAAATTTTTTTAAAATTCTTTTTATAAAGGATTATATAAAAATATAAATTGTGAACTAGGTTCACTACTAGAAAACGTGGGGTTCCTACGGAAAATTTCCGTAGCTAATTAGCTACGGAATTGTTACGGATCAACTATAGAATGAGATGCTCTAATTTAGTAATGGAATAGCTACGGAATAACTACGTAATAGCTACAGATGCTAGTCCGTAGCCTTTCCGTAGCTAATTAGCTACATAATAGGTTACAAAATAGCTATCGATGCTAATTCGTAGCTATTCCGTAGCTAATTAGCTACGAAATGGCTACGCAATATCTACGGATACTAATTACCTACGGATTAGCTACAGAGTATGCTTTCCG